GATACATCGCTCATCATCCTTGGATGGAGAGCTCAGTAGAGCTGCAGTCCTCCAGCTGCATATGAATGTGGCTAAGCAGGGAACCTGTTTGTCTAGAGACTAAGCTGCTTTCAGATTTACAATAAATAGAAACTGAGAAGTGCTTTCTGATTTTTCCATAATTCGATATGTTGTCATGAAGAGAAAAACATTTGCATTGAATTAAGCATGTTCATCTATTTTTCCGTGTTAATTTTTAATTTCCTCTATCCTTCCATTCTTAGGGCTTCATTTTAAGTAATGCTAAGTGTTTCTAAATTATGAATAGCTCTACATCCTTAATCATTTTAAATTCAATTTTAAAGGGAAGGTAAATAAGAAAATACTAAGATGGTGTATTTAAGCATTCCTTTAATTGATTGTTTAATTGTAATTGTGTTAGACTACATTCAATAGTACTTGAAGATGCCTATGTCATTCCTTGCATGAGATTATTAGACAACTTGTGTTGGTACTCTCAATATCTTAGGTTTTCAAGTTACATTGTATATAGGATAAATGGGTTGTCCTTTGAGTCAAGTACTTAATAATAATGGACACACTAAAGGAAACTTACAACATACTTGTCTTCAAAAAAATTTTAAAATGATGGAGATACATAGCAAAAACAGAGATACTTTTCTGCTATTCCTGACATAAAAGCATACATCTAAGCATCAAGAATGCTACTTGATAAACAAAATAACATTATTTAGTTTATAATTAAATAATATTTCTAGGTATCTAACTCATTTCCTAGTACAGATAGAGTAAATATTCAATAAATAGTTTACCTGAGTCAATGAATCTCTGAAGCTTTTGAAATATGATAATATGCATGTTTTCTACTTAGTATTCCCCTGTCCTAAAAACCTAGAAGTAAATGTAGGTCTGTTTAATAGTTTCATAGGAACCCAACTCAATTGCAATTTCCAAATCTAAAGAAAGCATCTTCTTTTGTCTGTATGTGCTTGGTATGCCTTATCCAAAATGCTCAGGGACAGAAATATTTTAGATTTCAGACTATTGCAGAAATTTTAGAATATTTGTAGATTTATAATGAAATATATTGATGATGTAACTCAAATCCAAATATGAAGTTCACTTGTGTTTCATATGTACATTGCACTCATTCTTGAGGTGATATTATAATTAATATTCCTTGTATTTATTTGTACTTCAGTGTACAATTTTCATTTACTCTGTGTTTGTCCTCAAGTTCCAGATATTGTAGCAGTTTACATTTTCAAACTAAAGTTCCTCAACCTATTCAGATCTTTCCATTTTCTTATTTCATACCCATTATATACTGTCTTACCATTGAAATGTGCAAAAGGGGAAAAGCATCTGGGTAATTAGACAGTTAATGAGATTAAAACCATGCATTTCCCTGATTCAATTCTTATTTGCCATGCTGTGAGTTAAGAGTATAGTGTATGTAGCCCCTCACAAAACTTTCATTCAGTATCTTCTGGAGTGTAGGTGGCATGTTAAGTCCTAGATACACAAAAATAACACACAAACATACACACACACATGTGTAGGGCAGTTAGCTCGCATGTGGGTGTGGACATGGATCCTGTTGGGCAGTTGTCCTTCTTGTGGCTCCAGGGAGCAGCAGAAGCACAGGATTTTTGACTGAGTTCACTCCGTGTGGCACTCAACGGACACTGAGGGGCTCATGCCCAGGCATGGGGAGATCTTACTCAGTCTGAAGTTCCACAGGGGGCAGGGCTCTTGAGTGGACCCAGAGGCCGGTGGTCTCAGTCCTTTGGGCTCCCAGACACCGCTGGGGCCGCAGAAGAATAGAGATGTGAGAGAAACAAGGGAGAGAGAAAGCCCCGACAGCACCCCATGGGAAAGAGACTCTTTGGCTACTGTACTCACTTGACTGACTCAGTGGTCCAGCTAGCTTGCTTGAATTGGTGGTCCTCGTGGCTGGAACGCAGAGAAGTCCCCTGGCAGGTGATTAGGTGGCAGCAGTGGCAGTGGTGGCTTGACTCATTAGTTAAAGGCCTTCTCCACGGTTCCCCACAGCGGGGGGCCCCAAAGACAAGACAAAATCCATGGTTTTAAAGGATTTATTGTCATGGCTGGTGATAGATTAATCTGGCTGTACCCCCCAAAACTCAGGGCAGACCTGAGTTAAATAGGGAAGGAGGAGGAAGGAGGGTCTGGGAAGGAATGCTTAATTGGCTACACCCTCTGGCCTTTAGGTATCTCATTAATATGTAGATCTCTTGAGGCCCTGAGGCCTGTAGTCATGCCCTCTACCTGTGCTAGGTGACACAAACCTCTTTGGAAGGGGCTACATTGCTCTACATGCCTGAAAGACATGGATCAATGGAGGTCTTGGGGGGATTGGGGCCTTGTGTCATGAGCCTGGAGTCTGGGGGCATGGCCGAACACCTACTGTAATCCCATTAGGGTCCAGGGTTCCAGGCCTGTGCTGGACCAGGAACCAAACTATCCTTTCATAGACCTCTGCCCCACACAGAGCAACACAGGCCTGCTTGCACACACATGTTCATACACATACATATACTTGTACACACAATTGCACACATACATACACATTCACAGGGGCATGTACTTGCTTGCACATGCTTCCATATACACAAGCATGCTTGCACACACATGCTTACACACATGTTTACATACATTCTTACACATACATGCTTGCATACACACGCTAACACATATATGTATACATACATGCATGCCCACATGTGCTTACACACATTAATACATGTGCTTGCACACACACACTTGCACACACACACACTGCTTGTGGAGCAATCATGCCTTCGTATGCAATCACTTTTAGAGTAACATGATAAGTCCCCTGAGGTGTTGTTTTTCTCACAGTACTTTCTCAACAGGCAGTTAAGCTCCCTGCAGACTATAAGGTCATCCTTCTGTTTTTAGGAATCAATGTCAAATCCCCTTCACACTCAAAAAATATCAGTAGTTTTTAAATATACACAGTAAACCTTCTTTGAATTAATTATTCTCTCTGATTAGGCAAATAAAATTGTGATTTTCTAGAACAATTCCTGAATCTTCATTATTAGTGATAATGATCAGTGTCTTTTGCCTTCCAGTGATGGCACTTACACTTCAAAGAGAATTGTACACAAGATCAAACTAATGAGAAAATTGATGTGTAACCACTATAAAAAATGGCACTCTGCTATCAGCTTAAAAAAAAATACGTTGTTTTAAGAATCTCTGGTGCCCTGTGACAGATTGTGCAGAGAGGCTCTCAGTTTACCTTAAGCATTTCAGTCGCTGCTGCCATCTCATAGATTCATGCCTTAATTAATGAATTTAACAAAACTCAGATAATTACATGTTTCAAGAAAACAATTCATCCTTTGCCCAAGTGGTGAAAACACCTGGAAGCTGAGCTCTAAAGGGCACTGCTATCGTGAGAAGGTCGAACTGTCAGAAATGTTGAGACAAACACGGACTAACACCTATCTTGAATTTGAATCTTTTTTTCTTGATATTTTAATAATCCTAAAAGTTCTATCATATCTTTCATTCCCAAGGAACACATAAGGAAAGAAATATGGATAAGAGCACAAGCAAATATTTCTTGAACAAATTGCAACAAGAATATCATGCAGAATTTGGGGGATTTAACTGGGAAAGGGAAATACAAAAAGGAAAACAAAAAGCAAACAAACAAAAAGCACTTATGATATTCCTGATGTTTCTGCAATGTCTTCATTAAGACTCCAGTCTTAATATCATCAGTATCTGGAGGGGAGAAAACAAGAGCATCCCTTGGGAAGAGTATGAACAGAATTGAGGGATGGTCAAAACACATCTGTGCATCCCCTAAAATGCACATAGTCCAATGTTTCTGAAGCTGAAGGTTTTAAACAGGAATAGAACAAAGTTGCCATGCATGATAAACTGTAGGACTAAAGCACTCACTAGGCATGAGGTCATAGAGCACAGAGAAACACTCAAATAAAGAAGTCAGGTTCTAAAGGGAAAGTCAAAGAAAGGCTTACAGACTAGTGAGAAACGGGTCACAGTAATCAAATCTGTGCACTAGAATATCTCTTCCAGAGAGATACCTCAGCCTGTTAGCATTTGCTGATCTATCTGAGAGCATACAAGCTCTGCCCAAATCGATAAACCACTGTGTAAACCCAGAACCGCACTCATTGCAGTCCTCATGAAGATTTTCACTGTGAAAGCCACATTAGTACTTGCCTAACACCTAATAAATACTTGCCTAATACTTGCTTAATACAAAAAGCAGCCATCATACTTTCTACCATAAGATAAACAATAATAAATTTAAAGATTTTGTTCTTGAGAAAGAGTTTTCTTTTCTGGGGTCATAAAAGGGTGCACTGAGGCTGGGAAGAGTTCTACTGAGGCCACCACCATAGCTGTGCTACAGGTGACAGGAACCCAGAATCATGAAGACATAGGGGGTTGCAGCTTCAAAGAGGTTGAACAGGAACATTCTTCAGTTCTTATGGCTAATTGGAAGAGTGTTGAAGGACATGAAGGGCAAATTTCTGCCTTGAGACCTTAGATACAGAGCTAAGAGGACATTGATTACATATAGACTCTGAAAATGTTTCAGAGATGTGTGGATAAAAATGCATAACAAGCCATCAGTGCTGGAACTCAGAACACATTTAAATGGTATTTCAAACATAGGAAATGTTAGTGCAAAAATGGGAAATAGGAACGAGGGAAGGGTAGTTATTTAACAATGAGATTTCTTATATACCCAGAAGTAAAATGAGAGTGGTAATAGGAAATAAGCCACACTGTATATAAGGTCTTAACAGGTAGATAATAGTCAAGATTCCAATAAAAGCCAACTGAAATCAGTACCAGAGTTGCCTTGATCAATTTAGGCATCAATCAAAGGTCTTACAGAGAAACATCTATATAATTATTGTTGTTTTTATAAATTATTTTTGTTCATATAACTTTTATCTCTTTAGGAATTTGGTGACGGGCTCTTTTAGCCCTATCCTCCCTTATCTGAAGGACAGGCCAGAGATCCCACTTGGAAATGAGAGAAGACTAGTGGAAAACGTTGACTCCACCCAGTGATTTCTCCAAGAGATCCAGAACCAGGATTCATGAAGATGTTGACAAGACTACAAGTTCTTATGTTAACTTTGTTTTCAAAGGGATTTTTACTCTCTTTAGGAGATCACAACTTTATGAGGAGGGAAATTAAAATAGAAGGAGACCTTGTTTTAGGGGGCTTATTTCCTATTAATGAAAAAGGCACTGGAACTGAAGAGTGTGGTCGAATCAATGAAGACCGAGGTATCCAACGCCTGGAGGCCATGTTGTTTGCCATCGACGAAATCAACAAAGACAATTACTTGCTCCCAGGAGTGAAGCTGGGGGTTCACATTTTGGATACATGTTCAAGAGATACCTATGCATTGGAGCAATCACTGGAGTTTGTCAGGGCATCTTTGACTAAAGTGGATGAAGCTGAATATATGTGTCCTGATGGATCATATGCTATTCAAGAAAACATCCCACTGCTCATTGCAGGAGTCATTGGTGGTTCATACAGCAGTGTGTCCATACAGGTAAGATCAGTAAATGCTACTGTAAACAGCTGTATCACTTTTTTTTAAATATTGCAGGATAACAGAATTAGATGTTGCTAATAATTTCATGAATGGATGATATTAATGACTCAATATTTAGTTTTAATATTTAATATTTTAATATAAAACATTCTGCCACTGAAAACTACTTTGAAGTATATTGGATGGTTACAACTACAAAACAAATGGCCACCAAGTTTAGTGGCTCAAGACAATTATTTATTAATGTACAATCTGAAAAACAGTTGACTGGATGAGTAAAGGCTCAGCTATGAGTGGTACTTTTTATGGTGTCTCCTTTCTTCTTTCTGTAATTGGTGAGATTCTCAGAATGATTTTAGAGTAATACCAAAGATACAACAGAATGCATGTACAACTTCTTAAGCTCCTTCCAAAATTCTCTGCTATATCATATTCGCTACTCTCCCACCAGCAGAAGCAACTCACAGGGCTCAAAGTAAAAGATTGAGCAAAAATAACCTGTCCATGATGTGAGTGCTGCAAAGTTACATAACACGGTCCTTATAAATTGACTTGTATTTGTAGCCATTCATGCTATCAATGACAAGAAGGTACAGGATCTCTAAACCCTATTTTTCACACAAACTTTCTGCTCTTTCTTCAGAGATTTAAAGAATATATATATATATATATATATATATAATTTCTCAGTGAAAGTGTATTCAGAGAAGCCAAATAATTGAGAGAGAGAGAGAGAGGAAGAAGAAGAGAAAGAGGAAGAGGAGGAGGAGGAGGAGGAGGAGGAGGAGGAGGAGGAAGAAGAAGAAGAAGAAGAAGAAGAAGAAGAAGAAGAAGAAGAAGAAGAAGAAGAAGAAGAAGAGACAGAAAGAGGGGAGGAGAGGGGGGGAAAGAGACAGATTTTAGAACACAAATTAGATAAATTAGCTCTCATGACTTTATTAGAGAAAAAAGCCACATCTCAAATTCCTTCAATGCTTACTCACAAAGCCACAGAATTTTAGAGCTCAAAAGGAGCCAAGAAGTCATCCAGCTCAATTTCCTCACTTTCCCAATTCTCTCAAAAGATTGGCTTCATGAAAACTCCTCTCTTTAGACAGAATGAGAGCTAGGCCTGAGATAGATCTTTTGTGCTCTTTCAGCTACCTCAACTGCTCCTATATGCTACTTGAAATTCAATATTTTTTTTTCTGGTGAGAGCACTAATGTTGCAGTAATAGCAGTTCATGATTCTAAGAGGCACATACTCTGCCTCCTACTAAATTACTATAATCAAAACCCAAGCACTGAAGGACGTGATAAGATATGTCCTTTATATGTCACAATCCCACTTAAAGAGACTCTATTTGCATTGGCATCACCTTATTTTTATATTCCAGATTTGTGGCACTTAAAATTCTGTATATAATTCTGTGCTGTTCTAAATGAGCTATTTCAGATTTCATTCCTTCTTCAGAGCACACAGTCACATTATGAGTAATTAGGATAATTGGTTTTTCATAAACACCCTTCAACTTTATTAGAAGGGTAGAAAATGTTGCACATCTCAGAGCAGATCATGTAAATTTTGTGATTACTTTTATACTTGAGTCAGAAGAGGCGAAATCTTTGTCTGAAAAGAAGAAAACGTAAGGTCTCTATGTAGCACACTTTAATAACGATTTTACCTGCTAAGAGTCAATCATTTTCCAAGTAGTCATATCGAGTGTTACTTTCAATAAAGGATTGCATATATGCTTTGGGGACATTTGGCTTTCCCCAACAGTAAGTCTTATTCTCCATGTGCCCAAAACCATTTCTTATAATTATGTGACAAACTACCTTACAAATATTTATTTTATTTGGCTTTGCTCTTTTGATACTATGCACTCTTCAGAAGTCAGGCTAGTTTAAGGGGAAGAGAAGACATGAAAACTCCTGTACGTGTTATCAATAGAAGATGTGCCTTCAACATCAAAGTACTTCCTACATCAATAGTATTTCCTATTGTGTTCACTGGCTGTGGGCTCTGTGACTGAAGTGCTCCATTTGTTCTAGGAATTTAAAGCACTCCTGGACATTATAAGAAAACACTTCTGTATCTACCTCTGCTTCACGATTACTGGGGGTTGGGGGCATACATCCTGGAATTGGTAACTGTGGTGACAGCAGGAACCTGTCCTAAGTCTTCATGACTTCATGACTATGTCCTGAAATGTTAAACTGAAAGAGGATAAAACCAAGCAAAAATAAATGAGCATAAATCTATCACATGATTTTCGATACACACCTCCCATGTCATAGCATTTGGGCATAGACCAAAGTCCAGAGTTTCCTGCTGAAAATCAGGTTAGTGAGAAAGGATCATAGAGAGCGATGTTCTTCGTCTTCCCTCCTGTGACTCCATCACCAGCTTAGATAATGTAATGGTTTGTGTTGGTGACTTTTATATTGTTGTGGCAGAAGCACCTGACAGAGACAATGTGTAAGAGAAAAGGTACATTATAGATCACTGTGTCAAAGGGTCTTGGACTACCTCAGTGAGGAACACATGGCAATTTCATGCATCTGGGGACAAGAGACACAGACTTCCCAACAGGGTAGGGCAGGAAGCAGAGAGAGGTAGGTCAGGAGTCAAGCAAAAGCCTGTCACTCTGGGTGACTACTGCCAGCTAAGCCCCTCCTCTAGTAGATCCACAGCCTCCTAAGCTTTTAGGACCTGATAGTTCAAATTCAAACCTTGGCCAGTACTCTGTTTAGCCTGGTTGGCTTTATTTTCCAAATTGATTCAAAAAGAGTTTCTTCTCCAGCTTCACTTCCCCACTAAAGGAGAGGAATTCTCCCAAAGGCAGCAAAGGAGGCAGGAGGCACCTTCTGCGATGCTAGCTCACATTGTTAGGCAGTGTTAGTAAAAACTACATGGAATGCAGGATTCTTAACTACTTGCTGGGTTAAGCTGTATCACCATCGATGAAGACCTGGATAATTATTCTCCCAATATACTCATTAAGAACAACAAACCACACTGTGGTAGTCCCTTTATAAAGCAGCCAAATTGATTTCTTAATTCAGTCATCAATGAATACAAACATTCAAATACTTTTACATGACCAAATATACTTAGGGGATCTATCCACACCCTCCAGTGAGCAGGTTTCTTTTCAAAGCATTTTAAAGACTGCCCTGGTGTCCTCTATAAACCTACCAGCCTCTCACTTCAGGGAATATCATGCTTCAAGAAGAGATTCAGCTTCGATTCGATTGCCTTCAGCTAGGCAATTGTCTTTATGGCACTTACTTAGGAGCAGTGTTTATGCTAGTGCCTTTTCAAATGAGCTGCAGTTAGTGTCTAAGATGCCCAGTCCAATGTTCTTCCTTGAAATGATTCTAACAGGTTAGAAGATGAACTCTTCTCCTGGCTAATCTTCCCTGTTTGGAGCATCTTTTTACCTAGAACATGGCAGGTGGAAGATGATCCAGTTAGTGCTTGGCCCATGAACACTAAAGCAACCTCAAAAAATTTGAGATTTGGGTTCGAGAGCCTCTAAAAGTCGAACTCCTAGTAAGGGCCAAACTTTGCCTAGAGAGAATGGGTGGGACTGCTTTCAGCTGACAACTCAATACAAAGAGGTCAAAAATAATAATGAGCAGAAAAGAATGCAGTTTAAACCCATAGCTGATTTGCCACTCTTTAGCAAGTTGCTTTCTTATATACTAGTGGGCAGTATCTATACAGACTTTCATATACAAAACAGTGTTCTCATTTTGTAAACTATAATGTCCTTTAACTATCGGTAAGTCTTACCAAATCCTACTTCTTCATCCTCAGCTCAAATTCTATCCATATTGAGAAGCCATTCCTAAGATCCTCCTAAGGCCTTCGATTCTAATTCATTAAATGATTTGCTCATTTACATTTCTGTTAAGGAATCATGTATTTCTCTTTGTGTTGCAAGCACCTGAAATAAGCTCTCTGCGATTTTGTTAGGGATTGGTTCTAATGCTTTGTCTTATTTCAGCCCCCAAAGAGCCACACTTCCAGACCTGAGGGTCCTTGTCCCCAGCTAGCGTTGATTGATAATAAAGAATTGCTGTGCAGCCATTGGCTGGGCAAGGAGACAGGGCAGAGCAGGACTTTTAGATTGCACAGGAAAGAGACTGAGAGTAAGAATTTGGGAAAATAGCCCTAGGCCAACTGGGTCTGAGGTAGCAGAGACGAAACGTTGATTTAGCAAGTTGACTTAAGAAAGTCAGAGGGGAGAACATATCTAGCCGTGGGGAGAATTACAAATACCCAGTCATTGAGCTAGTCACGGCATATCAAAATTAGCTGGTGTGTGTGTGTGTGTGTGTGTGTGTGTGTGTATGTGTGTGTGTGTATGTTTGATTTGCAAATCCAGAGAGCTCTTGGGCAGGTGCAGCATGTGGGACCAGCCAGGAACCAAAGCAGTTTAACTAATTTATCACTACACAATTTAGTGAGTAAATTTTTTTTCATGAAATTCTAAGAATTAATATATGATAACCTGCTACATTACCTTTAAACGTCAGAAAATCCTTAAATGAATTTTGGAGTGGGATCACAGCCATTACCTGCTATGCTAGATTATTCTGAATGCTCATGAGTAAGAAGTAAGCTTTTTCCTGAAGTGGAAAACTGTCATGTAAAAGACAGATGAGGGCACAAGATGAGTGCCCTCTTCTCCCCACTGTCTACACAGTAGCTCCAAGATGACCTCATCTGAGGGCTTCTTGCAGGCTTACACACATTGGTTCTCAGACAAGTCCAAGACTACACCCCACTGGCTAACTGGAACCATGCTAGAGAAGATGAGAGCCCCAGACTGGCTTGCATCTGGCTCTATGTGGTTTCTCCACAAAGGTTAGGTAGACTTAGATAGACCTGGGCTGATGGTACAAAGCTGTGATACCGCTAGATATTTTGGAGACAGAGGCAGGAAAATTGCAAGTTCAAGGCCAAACTGAATTATAGAGCAACTTCAACAATAGCCTAGACGAAT